TCCTGATTTTTCACTCATATTTGTTAGTGCATTCAGTTTCCTTCAATGTGCAAGGCTTTCAGTAAAAGGTAATTTTACTACACATGTTTTTTATTTTTTTATTTCCAACGAATTAAACCCCAATTAGGTTCAAATTTCTTCATTTATCTCTGATCAGGTTTAATTTTGACTGACCTTCCCGGGAAGAAAAATTTTTCTTGCAGCCTGCTCGATCTGATAGGCAGACAACGATCTGACTGGTAAAAATCGACCTTCGCGAATCTGCGCGTCCAGCCCTCTTTTCTATCGGTTGAGGAGTAACAAATCAAGTTCCTAAAAAGAGGCTGATGGTAATCAAGCAAAGAATGTGATGAAACTCATGGAAACATACGCAACCTCATTTCCAGCCAATACACAAGCTCATTTCCATTTTCGTTCTTGATTCTTTCTTGATTCATGGCTCAAATATAAATAGGTAAACTTTTAACTAGAAGTGTCTAACAATAATCATCATCTTTATTGAGGAAACTTTTTCATAAAAGATATGGTTTTCAAAAAGGACCTCAAGGAACTTTCATCGGAAATGTGGAGAATGGTACTGGACATATTTTATAAAATATCTAAGACAGTACGCACGCTCTGATTAGCCAAGAGGCGTGACATCAATATTTTTTTCTCTCTGTTTTGTTTGATTGTTTTTAAATTGTCTGTTTCTTTTTCTTTCTTCCCCTTTTTTTACTCCTTTTTTTTTTTAACCGTGAGCGTATAAGGAAGCTATGCGTATACGTCGGTCCCAACATGTATCGTATGACTCTTGTCTTCACCCCTGTTAGCCACTGTGGCGACCGGGCTCGAATCTCAGGCTTGGTGAATAAAAAAAGGGTGTTTTCTCATTAGGGGAGGTGGGGAAACACGGTGTTTTACAGGAGAATACCAAATAACCAAACGGGCGTGAAATTATTCCCTAATTTCACGAGTATACCATTTGATTACCTATTAATATCATGGGTGATAGATAGATAGATAAGTAGTATCTGCTCCGATTTTAAAACAAATCCCAATTCTTGCGAGCAAATCCAGGCGATCAACATCTGTCATTTTACAGCGAAAACTTTAGCAATTCGTCACGGTATGGAACTACGTGAATAACTTGTTGAAAACATTACTTGACAGCTTGGTGACAGCTTGCATCGAAATTTGGCCAATGGGAATTGCCCGTTATGCAAAACCCTCGACTTCGTCTTGGGTTTGCATAACTGTCTCGAATTCTCCCAGCCCCTCTAGTGTTTACATCAGGCTATGCAAACACAGGAAAAAAGTTTTCTATTGCTTTTATAAAATAACTTTCCCGAGAAAAAAACGCAAAACTTTTTGTTTTGGCACTGATTAAAAGAGAAATTCTTACCAGTCGCAAAGTCTTGTACACGACGTCTTGCACGCGTAATCAGTTCTTGTTTTGCAAAAAGATGCTATTCAAAATACGGATTTTTCTCGCTTAAACTGTCAGCTTAAGCGAAAAAAAATTGACACACCTTCTTTGTAACGATTTTCCAAGTTTCAGCCGACGGAGGAATTGGTAAATAAAGTAAACTTGTTGAGTTTTGAACTCGAAAACTTTTTCAAATTCGTGCTTGCGTGATTAGCGCGCGAAAAGCAAAAAATCTTGACGCCACAACCATGTTTACATACTCTCATGCAAAGACTCCTCTCGGCCAATCAGAGCGCGCGTACTATCTTAGTTATTTTATAAAATCTAATAATCTATCAGTAAGTCCGCTATCTTGTCTGAGATACCTCAGTATGATGGCGGCTAGTATAAACTTCAATTGCAACTTTCGGATCACCTTCGAATCCTGTGAAAAATTCTTAGTGTATTTTTAAATTTTCTATCAGCTACCTGACTCATTTTTAGTAATGCTTTAGCAAATGTAATTAAAACTACGCCCCAAAACCCCCGTCCCCTGATCGACCGGGACAAAGCAGAGCATTTGACAAGCATTTACTGCTAAAGTTGTAAAATGCCTCGCGACCCAAGGCCAACTCCTCCAACTGAAATTAACGACCTTGAATTCATAGATACTCAAGTGTCAGTTGATTTTCAGGCCATGTTAATTACCATGTCGAGTCACGTTTTTATGTTTTCACGTGATCGAATTCCTTTCTCATTGCTGACTTTTCAGGAATCATAGTTTTACAGTTTAAGGAGGCTGAAACCGAAAGAACTTTCATCGATTATCCTTCCGCCAACAAAAATTCGTTCCTTCTTGTTAAAAGAAAACGCCATTGTTCGACTTGGCCTAAGAAACGCTCAGAAATGTGGCGTATTAATCCTTATCGTTGGATTTGCAACTCTTGACCCAGCCCACCTCTGTGGAAAGTGGTGGTGATGGTCAAAAAAGGAGGTACCGGTAATTGGGGGGAGGGGAGAAGCGTGCATAATGTTTTACTTTTGTCTACCTTCCGTTTTCTACTCTCCTCTATATGATACTATAAGCGCCTACAGGAAATTAGACAACACATACGGAAGTTAATAAAGCGGATAACGGGAACGCGGAGCAAGCAGGAGAATCGGGTAATGGAATGGAATCGGGAATGGGAAAATGCAAAATGCATGGGAACAATGCAAAGAATTGGAAGAAGCTGCTTCTTAGAGGTTGCAACCTCAAACCTTTTACAGTGTTAAAAATTGAAACGAAAACAAATAGTGGTAGTTAAGAGATAAATTGAATAGAAAGAATACTTGCATGTATAACGGCCCACTTCAACAAGAATGTGGCACGTAACACTGATCACAGTTCGCAGGGTTCTGGTTCAGCTCTCAGCATGGTTTAGTATTTCGCTGTTTTCCTGATTCTCTGTATTTCTGGTGGTTCACAAGGAACAACCAGCTAGGCTCAACAACAACAAAAAGAACAGATAAAAGATTCATGCGAGGTATCGAATTATTATTTTGCTTTAGTTGACATTTCTTGGTGAAGGATAGTGCTTGGAAAAAAAACCGCGTGAACAAGGCCTGCTCGAAGATTAGAGCAACTG